CAGACACCATTGCTGCAGCGAAGGACAGGGTGAAGTGGAGGTCCATGGTCGCCCACGCCAGTCGGCAAGGCACCGGATGATGATGACTATACTCATATAGTAGTCCTTGGTTTTTACATAACTATATGAAGTATGTTTTTCCATCCCTTAAACTGTTTATCATTTCAGGGCTCGCTGTGGCTGACCTTTGCTCCCTGGTGACCATGATATGGATAAGCATCTGTATGAACCCTCTCTTCTATTTTTCTGAGTTGCCTTTTGACTCAACGGATATCTTGTACCTCACGGGGTCCACGCCGCACGTACTCTTTGTCAAAATCGCCACTTTTATCACCGCCTTCATCACCTTCGAACGATGTCTGTGTATCGCTGTCCCTCTGAAGGTGAAGACGATCATCACACCGAGAAGGACAAAGACAATTATTATCTCCATCTACATTACAATACCCATTTTGATTATCCCCTTCATCCTTGGCCACAGATTTGAGTGGGTTTTCGATTTCACCAGGAATGCCACTATACTAAGATCTACCTACACGGCTGACAGAGAAATGCTAGAAGCCATTACGTTTCTCGCCCTAGGAGTATTTGCTACGACATTTTCCTTCGTCTTCGTCATCTGCTGTACCATCGTTCTCATCGTCAAACTCAACAGTAAAACAAAATGGCGGCAGGCCACTGCAGCCAAGTCTGATCGTGCAGCGGAAGGAGTTGGGGTCAAAGATCAAAAGGTTGTGAAAATGGTGACCTTGATCGCTGTCATTTTCATCGTCTGCGCCGTACCCCCCACGCTTCTGTTTTTCTATATGGCGATTGACCCAAGTTTCCGTTTTTTTGGCGTCTATAAAAATCTCTATCTTATCTTTTGGACTTCATCATTTCTGACAGAAACTGTCAACTCTAGCGTGAATATATTTGTGTATCTGAAAATGAGTTCGAAATATCGAGCAGTGTTTATGAAAACTTTTTGGAACAAGGAGGAAAAATAACTTTTCAGCTGCAGAGAAGAGGAAAATTATCTACTTGAAAAAAACCCCCGAATAAATATCAATCCTATAAAATAAGACAAGATTGACTGTATTATTACCTTTATTGTCTAGATATTGGCGCATTGATCATGGTGTTTCACGACAAACACACACACACACACACACACACACACACACACACACATACACACACACACACAAACACGCAAGAGCGCACCTATACACACATAGTCTCTTACACATCCTCTCTTCCAAGTACATTACACTTACCAGTGGCGGTGAGTAGTGAAGGGCTCCCAGGCTTAAGCCCCCCCCCCAATTCTATCACAAAGTCATGTGAGTTTAACTAAGGAAATCAGCAGTCAAAACTGTTTGGATAGCTTGCAATGAACGTAGAGTGATCAACTTGGCGGCTTGCTCGTTTATCCAATCACTGTTGTCCCCGCTTACAACTATAGTAACCTAACAGCCAATCAAATTTCAGTAGGGCTCAGCCCAGGATGAGCCCATTCCCACGCCACTTTTGTAATGAAACTCTCCTTACAGAAAGTAAAAGACAGGAAAAAATAACATTCTACTGAAGGCTCATGCTCTCCTAGCCCTGACAATGGGGGTGAAAGTTTACGACACACTTTCCTCCAGGGACACAGATACTTACGCTCTCAATTGGACCGTTGTTAGGTACGTCCTACTTTCCGCGACTACACAGCCTAATCCAGTTCATAGACAGAATATGTTTGAAGTGCTGTGTGTGCATGGTTGTGCTTGTGCGCTGAGATTTAACAGTTACAAATCACGTCGATTCCACTTTTATGCCAGCTTTTTCATTCAGAAAAATCTAACTTAAAACAAAGAGATGGAAGAGAAAGGTGACCCTTCTCGTTTGGATGGTTCTCAGAATGCCGTGGCTCACGTGATTATAGAGAAATCAGCACTCTTTAGGTCTTATTGCATGTTATTTGGTGGAAAGGACTGGATTTGCTGAAGCCCCACCCAAACTTTGGTTCACCCACCGCCACAGACACTTACACAATGGGGAGGGGGGGGGGGTTCTTGTGGTCGAGAGGTTACAGACAGACAGACAGACAGACAGAGCATGTCTTACCTAGCGGTTGTTTCAGTACCTGATACATATATGTACTAATGTCCTGTCTTGTTGTGTGCATGCGTGAGTGTACATAACCTTTGTAACGTCTGCTGCCATTGTAAACGACCAGGACAAGTTTCTCCCTGCAAGATGAATAAAGATTGTCACTGTCATTGTCATTGTCATTGTCATTGTCATTAAATTGATATTATCTTCAGCACTAGGATGCGGATTGAAACAAGTAACAAGACTTTCACTACTACTGCTCCCATGACAAGAGTGTATACCCCCCCTCTCCCCCATATGCCATATTGTTAAGATAGTTCGTTTTGATCTGACTCTGATAAAAGAATTTCCTATATACCTATTTAATCTAGCTTTTCAGATCGGAAATTTTTGAAAATTGCTGATCGTTTCTTGTGATTTTTAAATCCCTGTGCATTTAGTTTTCCTATTTTGAGTGGTTCCTCCTTGGCTTCCTCTGCTGTCTTCCAGCCACACCGATAATATTACGGTAGGTAAGATCTACACCTAGCCTTCTCGGATAAGGGCGAAAAATCTCGGAAGTGCCGTGTGCAAGTTGAGGACGTTAGAGATCCCTTAGTGGTCCAAAATCGATAAGCGTAAGCTTTGGCCGCCATCCCGACAAAAATCAAAATTATTTATCAACTGAAAATGTTTGAACGTGTCCTGTACGCTCATATGACCAAATATAGTTTCGAGTGCCGTAAAAAAAACTTTTAAAAATTAGTGCAGACTCGAATTACTCGCCATGTCGATGTTCGTTTTCGAAGTCCCACTGTACAAGCATTGTCGTCATCCTGGTCCCTCCATCCTCAATGCTATGAGCGCCGAGATGTTGGCGCCTTATACTTGGGACTCTGAGGCTCCGCCATCTTCCTATTGCTGGACAGCTGTGGTTGCCCAGAGGAATGAAGTTCTTGGCGCGTGGACTGTACCTGGCTACCACGATAACCCTTAGGCCGGTCCCAGAGTGGCACAAAACCGTGCAAATGAATGTATACATTATCGTGTGCTTAAGCAGCGTCGCTGTGTCGCCTGTTTTTTGTCAGCTGAGCTGCGCAATGCGTCAGACGTGCTATTCAACAGTGTTGTAAAAATGGCGGACATGTGTCGCCTCGCTTCGTGTTTATTTTCGACTGAAACTCTTCACAGGTCATCAGAATCAACAAGAAGTATTATTAGGTTCTTTACTATTAAATATATTGATGCTAGCATCACCACTCGGCCACATAATCACCAAGAAATGCACTTTATCATACTTTGAAACTTCGAATCGAGAGGTTGACCTAGTTTCGACTGTTGCCGTCGGCCTATGCCTAGATCTAGGTGTGCATCTCTAGCCTTGCATTGTAACCAATGTAAACTATCGCCGCGCGCAGCTGCAAGTGTGTTTGTGTGTGTGTGTGTGTGGGGGGGGGGGTGCACTTGGCACATGACGTAAAGAAGAGTTGTCCCGTCTTGGTATAATTGTTCTTGGATTACACCGTACCTAAATATAGCAAGGCAGACCCGTCAGTTGCACACCTACACACGTCAATACACAGTGCGGCTGTGCTGACACACAGCGAGTGTGCCTCGCGCTCGCTGAGACACAGGCGCCAACACACAGTGCGGCTGTGCTGACACGCACACGGCGTGCGCCAGGCCAGCTACAGGTCAGACCTACAGAGCCACTCTGGGACCGGCCTTACTGTCTTCGGCGAAACTAGAAATCATTTGCCTCTGCCGACCTTTTCAATGTTTTTTCCCCTCCTCCCCTTCTCCACTGTTTAAAACTTACTGTTTGAATTTCGATCAGAGTCAGTTGGGTGTTCTAAATCCAATGGGCTCACCTCTGACCTGTTGGAGTTACGTGGTTCACATACACGGGTACAGTGTCCACTCAAAGACTCGGTATCATCGTCAGGGATGCTGGGTGGTCGTTGTTGTTGTTGTTGTTAGCGATCCAGTAGCATCTGAGCGTTAACTCTTCTGCATGATGCCATTCGGTAATAGTTGCATGTTTGTTCTAATTGTTGTCTTGAGGAGTAGAGGCAATAAGATGTGTGGGGTAGCTTGGGAAGAAAACATCTCCTTAAATCAGTTAGTTTTCTACAGAAGAACAGATGATGTTCCACTGTCTCTGAGGGGTAGTCACATAGTGGGCAGGCAGCAGACTGCTTTACTCCATACATGTATTAAGCATGCACTTATCGGAGAGCCCTATGACTGCGGAGAAGGTGCAGAGACCAATTGCGTCTTGCTTGTTGACAACATTTACCCTCTGGGATCTGCCATGCCTTCCCCTGCCCCCATCTCTCGGATGAGTGGACTTGGTTGCTCTGGTAGGAGGGGGGAAATCTAGCTTCCAATGGGTATTATTATTACTATTAGTATTATTATTATTATTATATTATAAGTTTTGTATTTCAGCAACACACAGCAACTATGCTCTTAATAGTGTCTTTCTCTTCTTTATCTCCTCAAACAACTTCTCAATATAATACAACAGACACCAACATACCCATTCATTTTTCTTACAATCTCTCTGTGATGGAGTTGGGTTTTTGTTTGTGGAATAGCACCTACAGCCACTGCTTTATCTCCTACCCCGGTATGGAAGGAAAATCACAGAACCACCAGTTTTAGATGCTATTCACAAATGCTGGGTGGTCCTAACTGACGTCACGGGAGGTGACCTCCTCATGGCAAGAGCCCGCATCCGTCGCCACTGACTCCTCGACAGACCTACAGACTATCTGGCACTGGGGATCCCCTCTGCCATGTCCTTCTTTGCCCCACTCAAAACAGGCAAGGACCAGCTTAGACTGCTCTCTATAGTACAGCTTGGCCATAAATGAGCCAACTTGCAGCCTGTTAGAAAGAGGGGGAGACGGCAGATCTATCCATGCAAATCTGCACCCTGTCACTCACTGGTCAGTGTACCCTCCTTGTCCCGGGCCCCCCCCCCCCCCACAGAAGTTGTGACCGGAACTTGACACCAGCCTTGCGAGGTGACCTTCTAGGTTGAGCTGGTCACGGAGACCTGGAGACCATCATTGGTGAGGCAAGTCGTTGGCACCTCATTGCCCTGGTTGTCCCTGACGACAAGAGGCTTCTGGGATTTTCAAAGAAACTACGGGGGGTGGGGGGGGGGGGGGGGCTCTCGTGGTCTAGAGGTTCAGGTGTTCACCTCTCATTCTATAGCTGCCGGGTCAAGTGGCGGGGTCCAAATCCCGTTTTCTTCCTCCAAAAAGGTTCCCTAAAAAGTTTCCCTTTTCAAACCTTTCTCGGCGTCCTAAAAAGGCTGGGGCGGCCCGAATTCCCCCCCCCCTTTTTGGCCCCCCCCCCCGGGCCCCCTTTGCCCCCCCCTTTTGGG